AAAAGTAAGCATTTCAGCGGATCTCCTTTCATTTCATCTGCTTTTGCATCGACTAGCATCTTGTTAAGTCGAGCAGCGTACGATTCGACGTCTTCTGAAGTCCTTCACGATATAGAGACAGTTCCATCGGCGTCAAAATAACGCCGTCCTTTCACCAAAAAGCGACATCAGTACTTTCGTCAGCTCTTCGAATGAGAGCTCTAGTGGTGACTTCGGTGCCAGCTGTCCTCTTAATTTGGCGTGTGCGGCGTTATCCAGCTTTGCAGACAGGAGTATGCAGCGGTCCTTCTCTGGCATCGTTACAGGAACAATTTCTTCGAACCTCGACAGCCAGCTCTCGAAGGTGCATCCGCTGTCCGGATCGTAGCTGAAGTACGGAAGCCGCGACGAAAGCGCTGAATAGTCCGCCAGTGTGGGAGTGATTGCATGGTCCATACGTTTTGAAGCTGCTCTATCCGCTCAGACTGCACCTGGTTCGACTTCAGGAAAGCCGCAAATTGTTCTTGGCTCGCTTTCAGAAGTGCAGCAGTTTGCTCTTGGTTCGCCATCATTTGCTCCTGGTTCGCCTTCAAGAGTGCAGCGTTTTGCTGCATCAGCTGAGCGAACATCTGCTCCAATGAAGCGCTCGACTTGGTCGCCATCCTTCCCGAAGAGGTACCTGTTCAACTTGTTCCTCGTCCACTCCAAGCGTGTCGTCCGGTACTGATCGCCACTTGTTGTAGCCTTCTACTTGTACTTGTAACTGGGTCCGGGACACTTGTAGAATACTAGATTTATTAGTAGGCCGGATATGAATAAGAACAGAGGATAAGGCGAGACGAACGAATGGCTTAGCTAGCAGGGAACGCCTTATATAGCGCTCAGATCCCGCGCATAGGTCAATACAACACCAATAGATCAGATCGCTAAACAACAACATACAAACAATTACAAATACAATGCTACTCTCCAACAAACATTAAAGTTGTAGATGAATGTGGTGTAATCCCTAGAACATATTGTATTCCAAAAATGCACAAAACACCAGTTAAGTTTTGATTCATCACTGGCGCTAAAAGAAGTACGTTGAAACCTTTAACTAAAATACTACAGCTGATATTTGCCCATTTAAGAAGGCATTTCAACAATACTGCAGAGTTATATGGCAAAGGTCAAAGACAAAACATTTTTGGGCTATAAAAAATAGTAGCCAAGTGGTAAGGGAACTGGCACAGCTTGTGGTAACCTAGAAGTGTATACGGCCGACTTCTCTAGTCTTTTTACAAATTTGCCACATGATATCGTAAGAACAAACCTCAAAAAGCTTATAAGCCTTTGTATGAAAGATTATGAATATTGGGTTGTTTCAAAGGTTCCACCCGTTTCCGATACTTTTTTGAACTGCCGATTTTGGAGGTTTCAAGCATATTTTCGTTTTCATAGATCTTTGTTCGCTGTGTGGTTGCGTACTTTGGAAAGACAGCGAGACAAATGTGAAAATTTTCGTTTTTGCTCTATCGCCTCTACAGCCAAAAGAAAATATTCCTTTTAAAACATACATGATGTTTGCTGGGGACTTGTGCTACGAAACGCTCATCGAGGTATGATTTCAAGAAGATTTTGAACCTACAAATTTTTAGCTCAAACATAACTTGTCTTTATGGTCCCTGAAGTCGCATAAAAATCGTAAACATATTGCAATCGCGGAACTTTTACTCCATATAGTAGGATTAAAGCTAGAACAATTGCTACTAGAAAAAGAAAAAATTTCCTGGTTTGTTAACGACAAACAATTGTATTTTTTGCCGCCTCAGAAAGAGCAAAATAAGTGGGTCCTTTCGGATTTTTTAGCACAAAATTTTTATGAAAGAGTTTGATGAAATCCAAACTTAGCTGTACTGCTCAGTCGACTATGGGCTACACTGTGAGCTTTGATACTTGTACTACGGAAGTACTTAAAATATATAGAAATTGCTCCGACTATACACAATTTGAAGAAAGAATGATAGAACTAGCTATGACGACGAAAAATAATGGACGGGAATATGAAATTTTTATGAACAAACCTCAACACATATTTCTTGATAGGCCATATATAATGCATAAGTATGGATTCGCTACAGTTATACACTTACCACTTATATATGAACTGCGAAATACTTGGGATACAGCTAGCGCGCTCTAAGGTCACGACGGGATAACACTCATTCGAACATGAGGTTGCAATCAATTGCTAGGTCACTCGTCGTTTGTGTTGGAGTTATGCAGCCAACTTGTCTCCATTTGTCTTTATGCTCTCTTGTTTTTTGTTTGATTTAAATTCTGTAGGATGTCCCTTTTGCTAGAATTTTGAGGCTTCCTTGGGAACTACTGATGAGGGGCACCAGGAAGCTGCACTATTGGTATAGTTCTCAGCCCCGAAACTGGATAATATTGAAATTAAAAACAAAATATTGTTGTGAAATCTTGGTGTCCTTGTTGATTTATAAGCTAAACACTCACATTCTTCAATCTTATATATAAAGCTGAATGTCTGTTTGTCTGTATGTCTGTCTGTATGTATGTATGTCTGTACGTATGTTCCGAATAGAAAATTCCATTTCTGAACCGATCCGGAGCAAACTTGGCACACATACACTTCGGGCCCCGGCGGGTGTCATAGGCTACTTTTCGTCATCGATCGATATCGATTTTATCGATTTTTATCGATTTTTTTGCTGAGTTCACCTACGGGGCTGGGAGTTGGCACAGGGGGGTAATCGAGCATGGGGATCCCGAATACAATATCGGTTCTCAGGATTATCGATTACTTTTATCGATTTTATCGATTTTTTTGCAAAGTTTGAGCTACGGGGCTGGGAGTTCGCACAGGGGGGTAATCGAGCATGCTGATCATCCCCAAGGGGGGTGATCAGCATGCTCGATTACACCCCTGTGCCAAATTCCAGCCCCCCAGCTCAAACTTTACAAAAAAATCGATGAAATCGATAAAAGTAATGGACGATCCTGAAAACTAATATTGTGTTCGTAATCAGCATGCTCGATTACCCCCCTGTGCAAAATCCCAGCCTCGCATGTCAAAATTTACAAATAATCGATAAAATCAATAAAAGTAATCGATAATTCTGAAAACTAATATTGTATTCGGAATCCCCATGCTCACTTCCCCCCTGTGCCGACTCCTAGCCCTGTAGGTGAACTCTGCAAAAAAATCGATAAAAATCGGTAAAATCGACATCGATCGATAACGAAAAGTGGACTGTGACACCCGCCGGGGCCCGAAGTGTATGTGTGCCAAGTTTGGTCCGGATACGGCGGAGCCGGGTAAGCCAGCTAGTATATAATAAAACAGGGTGTCCCAAAAGTATGTATACACTGTTTGATCGTTAATATCTCTCTTCCCAAGAAGTCTTTTGCCTTGTTTCAGGCACCGTTTTGTAAAGCTGACTTCAACTTAGATTTGCAGTATAGAACGAATCATCTATCTCCCTTCATTACTATAGGATTACGGTAGAGACTTCCAAGAGGGTTTTGAGCCAGAAAAGGCCATATTTTGCCTTAACAAGGAAATAAAACAGTTTGAAAAATTTTACACTAGCCTAATTGACATCTAGGACAATTTTACACTAGGTTATTTGACATATTTTTGCTTATGTCTCGATAGTCGGCTACATAAAATTAGAGAGAGGCTGTTATCTTCAGTTTTAAATTTTTGTTGGCTATTACTAACCATGATTATGCCTTACTTACGTTCACTTCAGCGTTCTCTTCATCAGGGTTACGTTAGTAACATCCCATTACCTCATTGTAGCCTGGCCCCATCTATGGTCTGCAAGTTTTCGTCTGTTGGTTTAATTCGTTTTAACATAGTCGGTAGGTACTTATCCCTACCACTCCGATTCGGATTCTTGCTTCCTTCGAAACGAAGTCCTATCGGGGCTTGGTCAGCTAGCTTTTACCGGGGAGGCTCGCTGACACCCGAAAAGGGGGGTCATCATGAGTTTTAAGAATACAAGAAGTCTTTAGATTTTTTGTGCAAAGTGCTTTTTACTTCGCTAGATGGGTTTAGAGCTTCGTGTTTTTTATCCATCATTTTCTGTTTGCCGTGTGACTGGGAGGCTAGTTTTATGTGTTGTGCTTTGTTTGAGCTTTCTGTTTGATCTTTTTCCTTTTGATGCTCCTTGAGTGTAGTTATAAAATAAAATAAAATAAAATAATTAGAGTTGCTGATTCTAACTGTGAAGTTCCCAGCTTATTATGATGCTTCATTGGAGAGTTATGCCAAGTAAGCAGTAGCGGCCATTTTAAAAAGTGCGGTTACACCGTTTAGAAAGCTTCGTAACCTTGTGAATAGTTGAGTATTGAACTAGGCGTCCATAAAAACCCTATTACACAAGTTTTTACAATTTTTGAAATTTTTTGAAACGGCAGCTTTTTCCACATTGACACCATATGTTTCAAGTTTCTACCGTAATCCTACAGTAACGAAGAGCGGTCGCTGATTCTCTCCATACTGTAACTCTAGGTTGAAGCCAGCTCTACAAAACGAGACCTGAAGCAGGGCAAAAAACTTCTTGGGAAGAGAGATATTAACGATCAGACAGTGTGTACATACTTTTGGGACACCCTGTATACCAAGGATGCATATAAATAAGTGCATGTATCTGTCATGTGCAGAAACAAGTGGCAAATCTGTAGGAGTTTCAGGGCAAAAATCCGATGCTTGGCATCATAATTGCTCTTATGTTTTTGCTTGTAACTTTGCGTAAAATCACGACTCACATCAACGTTCAAAGGTTATTTTGTAGAGCTCGCTTTGCTCTATCAAATGGTACCCCTCCTATTATTTCTTGTAATCGTCTCGTTATATTGCTTTAAAAACGACATTCTTTTTTTCCAATCTAATAATTTTCGAGATGAAGGATTGTCAAAACGAGTTTTGTGGAAATCATGAAACGCCCGTACACCAGCAAGTCCTCGAATTTTTCTCCGTTGTAGAACTTTCAAATGTATCATTTCAGAAATCGACGCGTACTTACCACTACGATGGGTTACTTTTGGCATCCAATAAGCTCACCACTGTCACTTTCTACAACACACACAGAAATGCTCAACAAAACACTACGAGTATATGAAATTGTATAAAAATATATAAGTATGTACAGAATCTCTTTTTGATAATCTTGAAATAACTGACTATATAATTGCTCTCCACTTGTCATTCCATGTGATATGTGTTTCATTTCATGTATGTACGACTTGCAACATAAAGTTCGACACATGAAGTATCCAATTTGAAGAAGCAATATGTGGTTTGGTAATTTGCAGCCCAGTGTTCAACCGCGTAAAAAACTTACCTTGTCCAATAATATTCATAAATTTATATGCGTTTGAAAATTGAAACAGAACGATATTATCTCAAGCAAGAAACTTGGCGAATTTTATTATTCGAGATGAATTATGCATCATATACTCAGCTCCGAATTCTCATCGTTCGTAGCCTAGCGTATTTGCTGCGCTTTTCTTTAGAAGATGCTCAAAGGATTTGCTTTACTTGTGCGGCATTGGTCAAATACGCATAATTCTATTGCAAGTATTGTATGATTACGCGTTTGCGTTGATTACGCAAAATCAGCTGGTACAATGTAAATTTGAATACCACTCTCCACTTTTCCCTTTTTCTTCTTTGGAACCTCTTTTTAGCGCACTGAAACAAAAAACCCGTTGAGCGGCACAAAATGCCCAAGAATCCGTGCGCGTCAGTTTAGTTTTGCTCTGGTGCTTGCATGCTACTGCTCGCACTTTCAGAGATTCATCAGCTCTGGGCAAGTAGGGAAGGGGTTTTAATCGTACTCAATCGGTCAAAGTGTTCGCAGCCTGTTGAAAAAAAACCTTTGTTCACATAACATACGTTCCTTTACAAAAAATAACAAATGAGCTTGCGTTCTACCAAACCTTATGCAAGCTGAACCTACAGGAGTAATGAGGTCGCAATTGGCGGGCTGCGTTGGCGGGATCCTCAAGCATAAATAAGCGGTTCATACTAGTCTTCGACATATAGGCTACTGCTTGACGAAGGTCAATATCTTTGGGCGCGAGCGCGACATTAGCCGCAGAGCGCATAAGGCGCAGGAATTATAGGTGAAGGTACGCGCGCGTCGCATTCGAGCCCGCTTATCGATACTTCTGCGCCTTCGTCTTGCAGTAGCCTTTACATCAACAACTTTTCGCCACTGAATGCTTTCTTCGATTTTTACAGCTGAGGAAAATTGTTTGCTTGAACCAAGTTGAAAGCTCTACAAGCTCTCTTTTACATTTGTCGCAGCCATCGAGATTTACTACCTTTAGCAATGTTTCAATGCTTATTTAGATTGTTATTAGCTCCATATTTCATTGGTGCTTATTTTTATTTTTTTCAATTTTTATGTCAATACATTTATACTCATCATGCCATGTTTTTATCTGCTAAATTTGCAAATTGATTATGATCATCTTTATTCGACTATAACCTTGCAGCCGAACAGAGAATGTTGCACCTCTTGTACAAAACGCTTTACGCTTTGAGCTCGAAGCCGACGTTAGCGCGGACCATCTTGTCGAATACTTTAATGTCCGTTGATTCTGCAATACAGAAATTTACATTTGCCATTTTGCTTGAACAACAGAATAGGAGATTGACACTGTAGTTTGCTCTTTGTCATAAGTGAGACAACAACTCACTTGACATGGTAAGCTTGGCAAATTCGGGGAATGGTATTCCTGCCTGGAGAATTTCATCGATGACGAATGATGATATTTTGGAGAATGCTCCTTCGAACATAGCCAAGAATCTGAAGCGAAGATTCTGGGTAGAGGTAGACTTTCAGCCTCATAGTGACTGACGTAGGAGAGATGTCACCGATTTCGGAGGGTCCTGGCCTGAACTTGAAGCTGGACTGGGTAACCTTCCCAACTAGTTTGCTGTCAACAACACTTGGAGTCACAGTAATGCTTCCTTCGAGTACTAAAGTTACAGATCGCCAATGAGTTTGTTACCACCAAGGAAAGGATACTAAGTCGATCCAGCGTTTGTGACAAGTACCCTTTGATTCAACTGGCTTGGTGGCAGGAAGGCGGGCTTCGTAACCTAATTTATCCTAGACAATGATCAGTGAACACGCGCGCGACAGAGACGCTGCTTCGCGGGCGCGAGCGGGCTTAATCACGTCACAAAACCCCACCTTCCAGCCGCCAAGCCATTGAATCAAAGGTTATATGGTGCACCTCGATTTGGAACGTTGAGCGCTCACTATCTGCTTTTCTAAAAGGAGTTATGAGAAAATTTAACATGCCGCAAAAAAACTTTCCGCAACAGATTGCAAACCTGCGACCACTTGTCAAGAAAACGTCACGCTTACCAATTCACCAACTGTGCCTCGAAAGCCAATTTTTGCTTTCTGTTCCGTAAAAACGACGGGCTTCCTGCAGTCAAAAATGTTTCTCAAAAGCAGCAAGATAATGAATGCGAAATTGAGCTTGATGTTTCAAACCGCCGGGATGAATCATATATCTGTCACAGACGGATGATTCGACTCAATATCCTTTTCTCGTGTGTTTTAACTTACAAATTTTAGCAAGAGGCTTAGGATTCGTGTACATAGAATCAAGATGCAAATCAAGTGCATACACTCCACCAAAGGTGATGCTGCCATTTACCATCTTCACATATGGAAGTTCATGCGAATGCAAGCTCATTTCGATGTACTTATTGGGGTTACTCTTGCTGAGCTTTTCGAAGAAGGTACCCACACAAGGGAGGACACCCGTGCAGCTGAAAACATCAATAGATTATTATAGTCATTTACAAGATTGGTAAGCACCTTGTCTTGAGGAAAGGTTCAATGTTTGGCACATTTTCTTTGTTGATCGGAACATTGATAACTCCAGAGTCATGCATGCTACCAAGAATACAGTTCATTATGCTTTCATCAAACCAAAGAACAACCATTTGTGGTTTTAGATCCGTTTCTAAAACAGAACAAATTAGCGAATATATAGGTCGGCTTGATTAATGATTAATGATAGTAGAGTTGTCGAACGTAGAGACACGGCGCCGTTGCGGAAGCTGTCGGCGTTTCTCTCATTGAGGGCGCTCTCATTTGTCTAACGGTCTGCCGTCTCTTCTAAGCACGAGATATCTTGCTCGTATGCAACGGCCTCCGGTTTCTGCGTGCGATGACTTGCCTATATATTCTTGTTGGTCTAAGGCCCGTATGCATGTACATACCCGCAGGGAGGGGAGGGGATCTGAGAGGGGAAGCGTCATATCTCGCTAATCTATATATCTTTCTTCTTCTTCCTCTGTCTTGCCTTTGAAGGTTCTCGTACATTGATACCTGCGCATAAATGGATGCCAAGTTACTACCATACAAAACAAGATAAATCATTATTTCGTCTCCCCTAGGGATCCCCAGGGATCACCTCACATTCTCAAGGTCATTTATCTTCCTGAAAACTCATTGAAAAGCTTTAAAGTTGTACTGAAGATATACTGCAGCACTGCTAAACATCTTTATGATAGAAATAAGTGAAATCTCAAGATTTCAAAATCTCTGGTGAATCGCTGTTCGCGAGCCAAGGATTATCGAAAAAATCAAAATCTTAAGATTTCATTTCTTCTGTTGAAAACATGTTCAGCAGTATCGTAAGATATCTTCAATACAATTTTGCAGCTTTTCATTGGTTTTTCATCTGGCATCCGTTATGCGCAGGTATCAGTGTATGAGAAACTTTATAAGCAAGATAGAGTAAGAAGGAGAATATGTAGACTAGCGAGATATGACGCTTTCCCTCTCAGATCCCCTCCCCCTCCTCCGCGGAGATGTACGTGCATACGGCCCTGAGACATAACTCATATTCAATATACTTTGTGAACATTGAAAAAAGTAGTGCCAAGAAGACTTTTTGGACCAAAAAGTAGTGCCAAGAAGACTTTGTATGTACAGAGCCACTCGTTTACAGCTTTGACTGACAAGGCTTCGTCTTGAGACTCATTGTCCCCTCCCTCCCCCCTCCTCCTCTCCCCCCCCCCCCTGCACCCCAAAGTTTAGGTAGTGAATGAAAGTCACCTGTGAATTGGCCCGCCGTGGCCGCAGTGCACGCTTTGTCGCCATAAACTACTCTGGCTGAACCAACCAAATCGTAGAAAGTGCTAAAACAATTTTTTTACTATTTATGCCTGCCGGGCAATCAATTAGTTCACTCACTCTTTATATGTCGGCTGCTCAAGTGCGTAATCAAGATTAAAATTGTCGAAGAATGGCATATGAAGTGGTACAGCTGCTAGAAGGGTGTTATAGAATGGAATCACTCTTTGTGTGAACACTGCGCAACCCTTAAAACTCATAAATTTGCAAAAAACATTCCAAGGGCTTATTTACCAATGCTTTTATAGCATTCTTCACCGCGCGCTCAGCTAGGTATTCCGCATTATTCAACATTTTGGGAAGGTAACCAGTGCCGCCCATACTGATATCAAATTGTTGTTTAACTGCTTTCACTGAGAATATTTCCAACTTTCCTCCAAAAGCATACCTGTAGTTGTAGGAAGCGAGCTCCATCGTACAGCTAGCCATCTCAAGCTGTGGGTGACCCTCAAGTGAATTAACTTTTCCTGTGAACTTCACGTTCAATCCTGCCGCATATCCATTCAGCCAACCATCATCTTTCTTCTAAATATCATGGCGGTTTGATTATTTATAAGTCTGAGCTCTTGCTTGATGAGACGGAAAATCCAAAATTCTAGCATATGAAGGCCAATCCTGGACGAAGGCGGATCTTCAACTGAGATAAACGCATGCGAATCTGGCGCGCGAGCAGTTATGGGTTTCGCACAGGGCCCGGCAGGAGGTGGCATTTCAGGATTTTGAAAACGATATCCCCTTTGAAGTCAAAATTTCTTACGACTTCCCTTTTGACCCTATTTTTGGCCCCCGTAAGTCCCTGACAGTCCCGAAGTGCAAGCTGGTTGGCATGCAATGAACTCGTAACAGCTGTCTTGTCGCGATTCAATCGCGACGATCAAATCGCGTAAACTCTGTCGAGTAAGGGTCGTCCAGACCAGAAACACATTGAAAATATGGGTCTCGCTGATCCACAAAAATATTGGAGGCAATGAAGGAAAACACACAAAGAAAAAGCAAAAAATTACAAATGTACAAAAACGAATGCAAAAATTCGATGTCATGTAACATATTTGCATAAATGCACCATTCCACCTACCTGAGATAGTCCGAATGAGCCGCAAATTGGTGACCTAAGTGCGACGTGCTGTAGTCGAAAATTCTGACATGCATGTCATCTGACGAACAATCCAATTTCTGCGTGAAATAATCTTGGCAGCGCGCACTGGCAAATCACATATCTGAAGAATGCGCAAGATACTGGATTGAAACATAGTAAGCAACATAAGACCCCAGCCAGACTTCAACTGAACAGCCCAGAACCGCTCAAAAACACCAAAGGCCCCTTTTCACGACGCATATGTACAAGAACACCTGGCAACGCTCAACGATTTGCGGGATAGGAACTCATTCTTGGATGAGCTATCTTGAGCGAAGTCTGGCCGGGGCCTAACATACAAAAATACATGAAAATTCAAAAAAATAAACCTACTTTGAAAGATCTCAGAAGCAGCTGACTTTCGTAATTCCATATCTGAACGCTTCCACTGTAAAGAGCTGCCAATAGCCACGTTTCCGTGGGATGAAGGTCCACCGACTTTACTCGACTCGATCTTGTCAAAACATTTCCTCAACTTTTGATGACAGCATGCCTGCAACAACCGGAATAAAGAAAAACGACGAAAACAAACGACCCAAAAGAGCGAAAGTGCGGAGAACGACCACAATGCGAAAACTGAAGAAACACAATCACAAAAACAACTTTTCGTATAGAACATCACGACCAAATATGATCTCTGGCCCTTCTGAGCCCTTGTAGGGCTCGTCGAAGAAGCAATCTATTTAAAAATTGCGAAGATTGCTTCAATCAGCCATCACTAATTAAGCAAAAAGTCAAATTCTCGGAGTTTCCGCGTCGTCCGTGCAAGGTGCACCGATTGCGATTGGAGCGCGCTTTTTGAGGCCGATCATAACGCTGTGAACCCTATTTGGGGCTGTATCGAAGCGATACCTTGATGGTTTTTGAAGCGGATTTGAACATATAGTAATACTCTCGACCTATTCCACATTTATGTAAAGAAATCTGGGAAATTATGTGAAGGGAAGCAGGGAGCTCCCAGGTGGCGCGGGAGCCACCTAATTTCGAAAAACACTTACCATTTTTTAAATTCACATAAGTTTCTCATAATTCTTCATACTTTTTTTGTGCTTATGGTCCTCCAACTATACAGCAAATTTGGTGCCATATCGTTACTTGTGCATTGAAAACGAGCCTATTTTGTTATTTCCCTCTTACAAGAATTGCGATTTGAACTCCCGCCTGCGGGCAGGCTAGCGATCGGAGCACAGAATCTTAACATTGCTGGAATCTAAGTTCATAGGACAGTAGCATCAACAGGGAATGTTGAATAAATAATGACACGTGCATTATTTATCGGTAAACAAAGAGGAAGTCGTATTTTGGGGCTCGGGGCTCCGCCCCGGACCCCAAAATACGACCTCCCCTTTGCTTTTTCGGGCCAAAAACGATATCCAGCTTGTGAAAGCGCCACCCCCGCCGGGCCCTGGTTTCGCATGCGCTCCAATGGAAAGTGCTCAATCGCGTTCGTTTCGCTCGCTGACGATAAATCATCCGCCTTCTTCTGGTACAAACCTGTAGTACTTACCGGGCTTTTACTGGCCAAATAATATATGGTCTCAAATCATGATGACGCGACAAGAAAAACTTGTCGCAGTAGAAGACTATTACACGAGAGGAAATTCCTGAAAACTACTTACATCGAGCGGGATATGTTTAAATGGGAAGAAGTATTTCCCTTTCCATGATCCATACACATTCAGAGCACCGCCAGAAGAACTGAATTCAACGCCGTTTGCCGCAGTTAGTTTGGCTGTCATCCTGGAAATATCAAAAATAAATCTAAGCGAGTTCGAAACAAATATAATATTTAAGCGGCCTACTTTGGGAATTTAAACTGTTTGACCTCCAAGTGCATGAGCATATTCACCCTTCCCGGGGCCCATCCCAACGTTCACATCAACATCTCGGAAAACAAAGCTGTTTACAGCTTTTTCTACCTAAAAAAGCACTCAATTACTATAATGCTTTCACTAAGATGACTTATGCTTGTTGTTGCTTACCAGTTGAGTTGTGGCCCCTGTGAGGAAATTGAAAGCGGATTCATAGACTCGGAACTTGAGGTTTGATTCTTGTTTGGCGAGGACGCCAACTGCAAGCAGGAGAAATTGTAGCCAGTGGGTGCTCATTGCTACTGGACTAATGCAAGTGCTTAGTGCTTCGATAAGGCAACATTTTGAGTGCGATTTTTAAGCTTCTTAGAGAGGCGGGCTCAAGCTAACTGTTCTGATGGCACGCCTCCTTCGACAGAACTGCTTTTGTAACCCATAAAGTCAGTTGGTTTGTAGAAACAAGGAAAAATGCTTGGAAATGGTGAATTTGTAACAGAATGGAATAGAAAACCTGAATAAGGCGCTTTCTAGAACACCGACTTCTTTACAAAAAAACTTTCTTTGCTCTTGATGACTGCTTAAGCACTCTGACGCAAATATTTTGCAAAATCATCGATTAATATGTCTCGTGCCTCGATTTGGCGCGCTGTGAGAAATACTTTTAGCAGTTAGCCAACAAATAAACCTTATTTGTGAACAGTATTACACTCTATTTCATACCAAGGTAGGCTACACATCTCACGTGGACCAGCGCGTGCGCGTCGCTGAAGGCTTTGCGAGCACTGGCAGTTTGTCAAGCAAAGATTGAGGAGAATGAAGAGACACAGACATGGACTTTTAGCATGGCATGTTATACTAGCTGCGAAACGGTTCGAATCATTGCGAGACGAAATCCTGCCAATCTAGTTTCCGCTTAAAGTGGGATGAAATTAACTGTATGACTGTAGTCAGTATCTTTAATATAAAGCTGAATGTCTGTTCTTCTGTTTGTCCGTGTGTATCGTCGATTCAAAACACGCAAAGACTGGGCGCCGTTGCGTCCGACCAAGATAGCTGGTGCTTGGGAGAGGCAGCAGGTGGTAAGAGAAAAGAAAGAGCGCTTGATCAGGGAGACGCAGATATGTCCGCAGTCTTTGTGTGTAACGAATCGCCTGTACATATGTGCGGAACAGAAATTTTTATTTCTGAACCGATTTGGACCAGACTTGGTACACATATACTTTCAGACGATAAGGGTGTCATAGGAGACTTTTCGTTATCAATCATTATCGATCCTATCGATTTTTGCAAAGTTCGAGCTACGGGGCTGGGAGTTGCCACAGAGGGTAAAGTGAGCATGTTGATTTCGAAGGCAAAATGGGATGGGGAATTGGCATGTAGAGTGGTCACAGGGAAAAGTTGTACAATGATAGAAACATTCATCATAGGGGTCTAACAAGGCCAGGCGGAGCCGGGTATGCCAGTTGGTGTTAGGTGCGCTCCATATACAAAACTCCGAACGAATTGGAAGTATTTGAAACTAGCTGGCTTACCCGGCTCCGCCGTATCCGGACCAAACTTGGCACACATACACTTCGGGCCCCTGCGGGTGTCACAGTCCACTTTTCGTTATCGATCGATGTCGATTTTACCGATTTTTATCGATTTTTTCGCAGAGTTCACCTACAGGGCTAGAAGTTGGCACAGGGGGGAAGTGAGCATGGGGATTCCGAATACAATATTAGTTTTCAGAATTATCGGTTACTTTTATTGATTTTATCGATTTTTTGTAAATTTTGACATGCGAGGCTGGGATTTTGCACAGGGGGATAATCGAGCATGCTGATTACGAACACAATATTAGTTTTCAGGATCGTCCATTACTTTTATCGATTTTATCGATTTTTTTGTAAAGTTTGACCTGCGGGGCTGGGAGTTTGCAAAGGGGGGTAATCGAGCATGCAGATTACGAATACAATATTAGTTTTCAAGATCGTCCATTACTTTTATCGATTTTATCGATTTTTGAAAATTTGAGCTAGGGGGCTGGAATTTGGCACAGGGGTGTAATCGAGCATGCTGATCACCCCCCTTGGGGATGATCAGCATGCTCGATTACCCCCCTGTGCCAACTCTCAGCCCCCTAGCTCAAACTTTGCAAAAAATCGATAAAATCGATAAAAGTAATCGATAATCCTGAAAACCAATATTCTATTCGGAATCCCCATGCTCGATTACCCCCCTGTGCCAACTCCCAGCCCCGTAGCTCAAACTTTGCAAAAAAATCGATAAAATCGATAAAAGTAATCGATAATCCTGAAAACCAATATTGTATTCGGAATCCCCATGCTCGATTACCCCCCTGTGCCAACTCCCAGCCCCGTAGGTGAACTCAGCAAAAAAATCGATAAATCGATAAAATCGATATCGGTCGATGACGAAAAGTAGCCTATGACACCCGCCGGGGCCCGAAGTGTATGTGTGCCAAGTTTGGTCCGGATCGGTTCAGAAATGGAATTTTCTATTCGGAACATACGTACACACATACATACATACATACATACATACAAACAGACATTCAGCTTTGTATATAAGATTTGACACCTAGACAAGAGCTGTTGTGTTTTCTTGGGAGATAGTTACGAGATCTCAATCTGAAATGATAATCAAAAGCACCCGTGTCGCACACGGTTATATGATTATCACAAGCCATTTTTTCTTGGAAGTCAGAGCAAGTAGTAGTTGCGCGCGTCGTTCACGTTGCCGTGCTACATTGCAAATGTTGTCCAATTTGTGATGATATTTCCAAACAAATGCCGTCGGCACAGCTTCATCAAGTCAACAGTGCAAAACTAGGCCTTTGGTTTGGTATCCTTGACTTTGAGAAAAACACTCGGTAGAAGTCAAGAAGATCCTTCAAAGGCGCATGCTGCACCATGCGCGGCATCGGGTCTGAAACGTGTTAGTTAAGCGTTTCCAGTTTTGCCTTTCGCTGGTTTTTCTGTTCTAACTTTGGTTTTGTACTATTTCGTAGCCACCAAGTCGATGTTTCCTTGATGAAAAATGTGACACTGTGCAAGCAGCAGGGACGCAGTGAACTCAGAATTATTCCATAGCCAAGATAATGAAACCGCAAACTTCATCAAATTCATTTTGAAGTAATGTTTAGCATCGCTATGGAAAAAAGGTACTGATGCTTGAGAAATCCACAGAGATTTTAATCACAGCCACATAACAAAAGCATGCAGAAGATCAAACCATGAGATGTCACAAAGTTTGAAGTTCTGCTACTCTATGTACCAACAAAAAAATATTATAGAATCCGAGCATATAAAACCGACAGCAAAGTTTATTCTTAAGGTTGTCCCTGTGCTTGCCCATGTGCCTGAATTATGATTGAGCTTGCGCAGGACCGCAGAGTCAAGTGGATTCTTGAATCGAATAACGAATGTTGGTCTTGAATCGACAGTATTAAAAGTCGGTGTTGCAAGTGCATGCAAAGAGTATTGGAATTTTTCTTTATAACTGTTATTTGCTTCACTTCCCTTCTCGCAATACCTTTGCGAAAAACATTCCATGTACAGTCGGCTTCATTCCAATTAGGCGGAATGGACATCCTATGACGAATGGCGCGCGCGCATCGCTGGAGGCTTCGCACAGCGTACCGTAACTGCAAAACACCAAATTCAGGTGGCTAGCACAAAGTCAAAAAAAACTATGATTTATGAGCGGAGGGTCCATGACTATTGTCGCGATTCGAGGTCTTAGTGGATTCACTGCCTTAGTGTTCCGTATCTATATCAACAATAATGACGTTTGTGTGCTTGAATGTTTTTTGTTTGTAGGAAGCAATATCACTAAGTAGCTCAAAATGAGTTTGCTTCACCTAAGTCTAGCTGTACGAAAAGTGAAAAGCAAATAGTTTTCATCATTCCCTATCGGTATAAGTTCGAAAAGCAAAGTTGATACTGAGTATTATTTTGCTTATCTCATTCTATACGAGTATTCCTTTTCAAAGTTAGTAAAAAAGTTTGCAGCCGCTAGAGGGGCTCTACCTGTTCCCATCGAGTGTTCGGCATTAACGCACGTGTATGACCATATCTTTCAAAGCTTTTCACATAGTTCAAATGAGTAAGGTTTTTCCTTTCGCATTCTCGCCAATTATCGGTACTGTATCTCACTAGAAGGAATTTTAAGCTTTTGGCACTATGAGTTGCTCTTACGTTTTGGCTTTGGACTTGCGTAGAGCGCGCCAATAATTAAAGATCAACCTTTAGAGCTTGGTTTGGTCTGTCAAACGGTACTACTCCTTTTTTACTTTAAATTCGTCTTGTTGCTTTGCTGTAAAGAGCATTGTTTTCTTTCCAACCTAATAAAATAAACAAAAGGTTGCCTACAGCGCAGGTTGACCATGTGATCAGGGAGTACAATTGTACAATTGTGCAAAAACTCTTGTAAAAGGAATACGCCTTTGCTACTTTGATTTTACGATTTCCCCTCAATCGCACCAACTGCGCAAGCTTTTTAATTGAAGCGCGTTTTCTTCCTCAAAACCGCCACTCATTTGTGTTTCAGACTCTAGCAAAAAGGGCAGGGGAAGTTTTAGAACCAAAATCTTACCATACGGTAAATTTTAAGCGTAGATCACAATCATATGGGAATTTTGAAGAATTTTTATGGAGCGGGAGTTTTGCCCACCTTAGGTGCTAATCTGAAACTCTAAGCACGCTCTTTGATCAAACTTTTTTTGTAATTTTTCATATTTTGTTCATCACTTCTGCGCGCATACACAATGAATTTGGTATATTGTCATATGTTGCAAATGAATGATTTTTCCATTTTTTTGGTGGCTAAAAATTCCCAGAAACTTGCAGCACCTTTCAATCATATAACTTTACAACTTTTGTCTCCTTAGCCCTTAAAGTCTACGTACTGGATTTAATAGCCTAATTTTATATGAGCGCTGAGTCGAAGATTAGAGATGCTAAAGGTAAGGTAAGATCTAGTCAACTCTCTTTTCATTGTAGGATTCGCTGTTTAGGGTAGAGGCGCAAAGTGAAGGTTGTCATTGCGGCAAACGTTTTTTATTCACCTTAATAGCTGGAATGCTTTTCTACTGTTTCTTGCTAGAATTTTGCACACATTGATGTTTCTCTTATCACTGTGCTAAGACAGAGTATTCACCAGAAAGGAATTCGGAAATTTGCAAAGTTAAGTGGGGCTTCCTTTTTGAAAATGTTCGAAGTGCAGAACCCTTCTACGCTGGAGTCTCACAATGAGCCCTTAATTTATTAGTTATCCGCCTTACCACCATCTTTATAACCCGTAGTACATCATGAAGTATCTGTAGTTAAATCTTCCGCCAACCGATCGTCAAAGGAGTAGCCCATCGTTTATAATATAATACATACACTAATAAATGGCTTCAGATTTCAGGCAGACCCTCTGTGACTTTGCTTAAGTTTATGTAGTCTTCTTAAAATTCATTTATTCAAGTCCACAAGAATAGTGTTAGAAAAACTAGCTCTGTGAATTTATTTGGAATATACTTTGTAGCTTTGTAGTACTGAACTTTTACTTTGAATCTGCTTTTTCACACCTTTAAATTTGTTTAGAAAGAAAATATTACAATAAGCAACACGCGGGAAAATGGGATAGAGGTGAAACTTTCCATGAAACTCACAAGCTTGTAATGAAGTTTGAATGGACCGTATGCTAAATCATACAAAATAGGGCGCAAAGATGGAATCTTGTATTTCTTTCACAAGCACAACAAAGAAGTTTGATAATTTATAATCTTTGGAATTCATGTCTAAACTGTTCAACCACGCAGTCTGATCCGAGAATAGAGTTGTCACGCAATATTATTGTTAGTCAATTTTTTGAGCATGTGCTGCAAATTTGGTGTCGCATAATCATCTGTGCGGAGCCATTGTTCTATTTTGGCAATCTTTTTGGCTTTTAGAAAAACACGTATAGTTTTAGCAGGGTTGTAACATACTTCTACGGTAAGCAATTACCTCAAAATACGAAATCTGTTTATTTATTTATTTATTATTTATTTTGTACGCCAGGAGGCGCGCTTCAATACAACGAAACCAGATCAGAACAGGGTGTAAAACGACAAATCAATAGAAAGCATTGAAAGAAAAAAAAGCAACAAGGGAACAATCATATTGTAATGAATAAGCCATCCAGATCTTGTCCAACCTACTTTGCACTTTCTGGAGGAAAGAGAAACATAAAAGAAACGTTGACCACCATCATGATGTTTGACTTTTTTCCATTATGATTTGATATATTAGGTCATTCCGAAAGTAATGTCGTTTTTTTGAAACGTACGCCACATCTCGTGGAACAAAGATGTATAAGAGATCTTGGAAGCATTCGATGCAGAATTTTATTCACTTTCTAATGGTTATGGAAATGTTGCAAAACATCCAATGAGCTTTCAGAAAATAACCAAAATCTGCGACCCATGCTTTTTGAGATGGTCAAGTTTCGCGATTTTTTCAAACTTTCATATCAGTCCTCAGAAGGAGTTTAAGTAACGGTTCGATAGAGTAAACCTTACAGAATACAGTACTACTTTTTCTCTTTCTCGCAGCTCGCCGTAATTTTTTAAAAGATTTTTTAACAGAACCATCGGATTTTGGCAGGCCCTCCTCAGCCACAATCGCATCAAACATCATAATTTTTCGTTATTTGAGACTATTAAGATGGTATTGTGAGCCAGCATTTTACAAAGCAGGTGAGGGTTTACGGGTTCGAAATATCACTTTTCGAGTTTCTCGGATACAGCCTGGGGCTCGCTAAAAAAATGAGTTATGATTCCTCCCCGGAAACTAAACGGATCGGAAACAAAAAACACCTGTTAGAAAGAGGAGTAAATGCTCAACTGAATAGTGCGCGAGCTGCTCTTTTTTTGATGTTCTACGAGGATTTAGCTGCCCAAGTATGAAAATTGGTAGCATTAGTTAAAATTCTGTTGAAAATGTATGACAAGCCATGGAAAGGAGAAAAAAGCAGTACTGAACTCTGTAAGGTTTAATCTATCGAAGCTTTACTTGAACTCCTTCTGAGGACTAATATGAAAAAAATCGCGAAACTTGACCATCTCAAAAAGCATGGGTCGCAGATTTTGGTTATTTTCTGAAAGCTCGTTGACTGTTTTGCAACATTTTCATAAGCGTTATAAATGAATGTAATTCTGCATCGAATGCTTTCAAGATCTCTTACACATCTTTGTTCCATGAGATGTGGCGTACATTTCAAAAAAAACGACATTACTTTAGGAACAACCTGATATTTATATTTTTCTATCTCAAACGCTTTGTGATACTATCAAGCTTCTATTTTGATTGATAATCTGCCTTTGTGTTACAATAACAAGGCGCATTTTTTTTCTAAAAGCGACCAGCCCGAGCACGCTAAAGAATTTTACGACCGAAGAACCTTTTATCCTCCTGCACAATAGGTAGGAAATTGTACAAGAGAGTGATCGACTCGCAGAGAACGGCGATGCGGAAAGGCTGTTTCCATTTGAAGAAGCAAAAGATGCGCCTTGTACATGTAAAATTAGGTATTTTCTATATTCTGGCCGGGTATAGAGTCATGGTTTACAGCACTTGCTCTTCTCTTTTCCGAATAAGTATCAAGCTTAATGAGTGAATCAACACAAGATTCATGGCGGTAACGTTCTGTAGTAACAAAGAGTACGTCTTGCTTTATTTAAATGAATCTTTTTGTATAATCTACTTATAAGTAATTCCCTAAAGCCTCATAGTTCGAATTCTGAAAAACATTTCGATTTTTGCTTTGAAGGTTATCAATAAGTTTTTTGTTGGGTTTTAAACGGCATAAGTGATGACGTCCGCACTGCCAGTCATAAGCTTTCTGCTTTTATTCGCTAATCTGATACAAGCTCTAACGAAATTATGGTTTGTAACCACCCTAGCTGGAATTAGTCTTGTTAATCTTGTTTATCATACTCTCTCACTCATCCGATTTATCGTTAATCATTCCATTTTCTTCTTTAATGGAGTACGTAAACCAATGATATTACAATAATAACGTAATCGCCTCTTTACCTTACTGTCGAGGCTCAAACGATTTAGGATTATATAACGATTTAGGATTTATTTACGCGGAGTCGAAAACGTATGTATCAGGTTGATGCATAATTCTTGCACCAAAATTTTAAAAATTCTGTTACTTCATCCAGCTGCGATGAAATCTGGTTCGATACATAGTAGAGAGAGCAAATCTTGCGCTTTCTGATGGTGCTCGAGCCAAAAGTCTTTGAGGGCATATGGCAACGATACAAGGTGAATAAGAGAAATACCCAAAAGGTGATTTTTCGATTTTTAGTCACTAAAATTGCTAAAACGTCTACTAAAATTTAAATTTATTTTTGGATCAAGTTTTATGGCATGCTCTTTTTAACTAAGAGAAGTTGGCAGTGATTGGATGTTTCTGCGAATAATTACGAATTTCGATTTTTTTGAAATGACTTATCGATTTTGTTTCAAATTGATTTTCTAAAATGTACTATAAAATACTAGTTTTGATATACATAACATAGAGCAGAACATGTAAGTTGAATAGCCTGTTTAAGCATTTCTAAAATGATTTTTTTTGTATTTTTGGTGCAAGAATTGTGCATCAACCTAATAATATGCAAAGTTTCAGTTCATGCGGTTCAGCAGCGGGCTTTCGATAAGGCGTGTGCCCTCCAAACGGACAATTTTTGAGTTTATGTATAGAGGTATTACCCACATATGGTGTATCCTATCATAAAAACTTGTGTCTAGTTCAAAATAAGATTGAACGAAAACAAAATTGAATTGTTCGTAGACTCCGAGTACGGATTTTTTCGGATGCAGTAAACTTTGAAAATTGTATTACTGTTGAAGGCGACGTCGTTCTTAACAATTTCACGTACCCACATAAAATTAGGTTTGGATGTTCTTTTTCAAGAGGTTCTATGGTCGCGATATGGCAATCGAGAATTTTGCTACAAACGATACTAACAATAAGAAGCGCATTGTTCTGTCGACATGAAGTTATGTGACTGTATCGAAACCAAAGCAGGCAAGAACTTTGGATACTAATTAATACAAAACTGTTGCTTCATGAGGAGATAATTGTAGAGTGGCCTTACTAAAGCCATATTTGCGCCTATCATCGCAGATTTTCAGTCTTAGGTTTTTATAAAATGCTCAATCTTCAGATATGATGACATCAATTTAAAATGTTGATCAAGACGAACGAGCTCTCAGGAAGTTTCACTTTGAGATTTTGACGAAAATATTAGTTGCGTTGAGTATGAAACGAGTTTACATTCGAAAAATGCCTAAGAAGTACTGTTGCTGTCTAAACATTGTGTTATTTCTTAATCTAGAATCGAAAATAATGTTTATTTTCTACGAATCGGACCAGCATTGAGAGGCAGTACAAACAATGATAGTAACGACAATACACGTAACTTCATTGTGCACTATTATGATGAGCTGAAGAACATTTGCTTTGGCGCTTTGCGCGAAAAAATTCTTCTCTTGTGTCAGTATATGCGATGCTGTTGAACCACTGGATTTATGTCGTGGATTGAATTAATTTGTGTGATAAATCACCTTTGCCTTATTACAGTATTACTGGACATGAATGGCACTCTTTTTCACTCAAAATTCATATGTTTTCGACCTTTTGTAGGTAGCAGTAAAGTCGCAACGATACTCTGCATTTGATAAAATAATGATTACAATCTTTATTGGAGCGCAAACGTTATCCGAATAAGATTCCCTGCGATATGCACAAGCTCTTACTTGCCGTTCAGCTCAAGGCCCATATTTATACGAATGACCTTGTCAAAGACGTCTATCTGGGTTTTGTCTAAAAAATGCTTGAATTTTTTGGAGACAAAAGCTATAGTATCCAAAATGAGACAACCTGATATGGCAGCACCATCGAATGATGGTAGCGGCAGTCCCGCTTGAAGAATTGCGAAGAACAATACCTTAGAAACCTTTTTGAATATTCCTTTTGTGATTTTCTCGTATCTGAAAGAAATCGATTTTAGGAATTGACATAATAAGAGCCAGTGATAGATTACCCAAATGTGAATCCTGTGATCTTGTAACCTTTCACGATGTCGAGTTTAGGATCGATGTCATCAGTGTCACACTCGCCGATGAGATGTTTATTGACAATCTTGGGCTTTACCTTTGCAGTGGCAGTGATTACTAAATAAAGATAACAGTTAAGGTTTTTTTTTCTTCAGCGAAATCTCGCTTACATATCTTGCCAAGAACCTTAGGATGCTTTTCCATTGGATACTCATACACTTCTGCGCCGAATTTGCCATAGATTTCGACGTAACCTTGTTTTAAGTTTATTTGTGGCGCTTCTGCTGTGAAGAGAAGCAGTTCTGCATAATCCCCAACCTTACTGAGACCTTTCAGAGCCGCTCCGATGCAACCGCCTTTAAAGATCAACCATCCTCCACATCTGAATGGATATTTTGCGCAACTGTAAAAAATAGTTTTAATGTAGTATATACCTGGTACTAAGTCTGTCCTTGTAGTCTGGAAGGCTATCTATGTTGATGGGGAGTTTGATTAATTGCGATTCATGCACGCTCTTGAGAGCGCAAGCAGAGAGACTTTGTCCTAGCCATATTACTACGTCCTTAGCGCTTTCTTCATTCTTGAATCCTGAAGTCAAAACCAGCGATTACCAATAACTATTTTTTTAGTATATTCTTAAATTATCATACCTTGAAAGACCTCATCATACGTAACATGGCTTTCACAAGGCTTTTTGCCATATGCAACTTTTGCCGCACCTTTCATTTCGACGAGATTGCTATGATTACGTATTCGTTAGGTGATCTAGTTTGGTGAAAATAAACAGTTGAAAATTAGATAAAGTTTGGACTAGCTCATGGAAGACATTCCAATACGGAACCTTGGACAGACTGAATCAAAATTGACTCACTTTGTGTATCTAGGTTCATAGAGAGCCCAATCGAGAGAGAAGTTGTACGGAAGTTCGTAATGAAGTGGGATTTTCGCGATTACCTCATTGTATTTAGTCAAAATTGTGTTTTGCGTAATTTGGCAGGCCTTAAATATCAAGTAAGGTACAAGTCGCTAAGTTAACTCTCTTACTAAGTCTTTGACGATATTTTTGACTATGGTCCCCAAAAAGTCATTAAACATATTTGGAAGATCCGCAAATTTGCCGTTGAACCTGAATTTGAGGCTAGTGTGCAATCAACTGTTTTTTTCATAGAATCATACTTGTAATCAAAAACGCCCAGCTTCGCTTTGCATTCACCCATCTGTAGTTGCGGATGTTTATCAGCTCCTACCACGATTTTCGCAGCTAGATCAACGTCCAAGTCCGTGGCTGATAGTACTGCGTCTCCATTTGCGGATGACTAAGATTTGACACATGTAATAATTTTGTGCTCAAGAAAATGGCATTCCCGACAACACCTGCGCGTAAACGATTGCCGTTGCACGTCGCAGGCAAGTCCGACATTCGAAATCACGGCATTGTTTTCGCGCGGATATTGTCGCCAGCGCTGGGGCAGCATCAAGCGTCAAATCTATAACGTTGTATATACTTGAAAAAAAGCTCACATCAATAGGAAGACCGAACGGATTGTGGTAAACTGCACTCCAAAGTCCTTTCATTCTCCACACGCCTTGACTTGATGAGAAATGTATGCCATCCTTGTCCGATATGTAAGAGTCGAGGCTGAAAGATGTAGTATAAGTGCTGCAAATTATTTCGTTACTCTAAACTTTCAACTCTCAACTTACATCGGACATACAAATTTGTCGACGCTAAGGCTCGTCTTCAATATGACTTCGCCGGATCCTATTGTAGTATTGAAGGTGATGAAGTTTGCACCGAGTTTGGAGACTTCGGTATCTGCCTTCAACATTCTCATTTATCCCCACGCCGTTAAATCAGCTATAAAAAACTTACTATGTGACATGTAGCCTTCGTCAAGAACTTGAATGCTGATTCGTATATCCGAATTTGGGAGTTCGGTCTTTGCGCAAACGCGCAGACGCCCAGCGCAAGCAGAAGTAGCTGTAGACGCATGATCACCGCTACTGGGTAATGCAAGAATGTGCTCTTGCTTCGATAAGGCTTCGTCTTGTACTGTCATTTTAAGCTTCTTATGGAGGCGGAACTAAAGTAGCTTCATGCTGTGCTTTGCTTGAGAGAAGTGATATCAAGGCGATACTGTCGTTTATGATTGAGGAATCGATATCGCGCACGAATATCTGAAGTGCAGCAGTTAGAGCACGATGATGAGGATAGTCGGACGTAGCAACTTTGCTGAGAAAACAGAAAATCAAATGCACTCTCTTAGTTGTGTAAGACAATGCATCTGCTCGCAAAGCGTTGGGCTCTCATTCCTATCCCCTGAGCTAAAGATGAAGAAAAATAAGCAACTTTCTAATGGTGGTAATCTAACGCCGTTTTGTTCATTCTGCCATTTTCTTTAACAATCTCACCGCTATGGGTTGCCATCCTTCTTCTGCCATCGGTCGGTAAGCAAGGCCAGTCTTAGCGGGTAGTGCGGCGTGTAGTGAGTCCCTGAGCCAAAGCTCGGCTTGTTCGTAATTTTAATGAGTTGATTAGCACGTTTCGGACCGGTGCTGCACATGGTGCAGCACGCTGCTTTGAAGGTTCTTTCTGACGTTTGCAAAAGGTTTTCTTTAAGTCCGAAGTTATTGAGTCAAAGGTCTAAGCTCTTACTTCTTAAGTGACTCTGTAGAGCTGTGCCGCCGATATTTGTTTACAAGATATGAGGACAAATCGAACAACAGTTGCAACGAAGTGCGGCAACGCGAACGACGCGTGCGACGTCGCAACTTTTCATTGCTCCGATTTCAACAAAATAAACCGTAGTTTCAATAGTGACGAGTACAATGTACAACATGGATACTTTTAGATACCCTTTGAAACTGAGTTCTTGCTCCCGTCTTTCAAGAAAGCACAAAAGTCCCTCTCAAGCGACAAAATTCAAACGCTTCGAATTCACCCAGAGCTTTGGGTATGGAGCTTATCTGGCATGCTGATTACAAATGTAGTCCACAGTCTGCAAGATAAGGTTCCTTTGCTGGCTAACGGCCGAAAATACACTCTTTTTCGCCGCGCGCGATTTCGCGGTCCGAAACGTGTTAGTCAATTTTAGAAAGAAAAAAGCGTAAAGTGTGAGCAGTCTTACTTTTATGTCGTTGAGGAAGGGATTGTTGTCGAAACGTTAGGACAATAAATTGTTTATCATAACACGCAGAAAAGTTTAAGGTAGTCAAAGCGTTCTGCAAGCCTGCAAAAGCTCTGGCAATAAGGGCAACTCGCCTATCGGTGAAGCAGTTTTTTATAGCTCCCACTGAAATTTTTTGCAGTCAGACGCGACACCGAACGAAACGAATTTAGAATAACATTTGAATTAGCTCAAATCCCGCAACTTGTACCTATGCCGCATGACACTATTTTTGAGATCTACCCTATGGGTATCAGTTTTGGGGCAAGCTTAGGGCTTATCCACGTCTATTTTACAGTTTTGTACCAAAGATGCAGTGAAAAAAGCGTTCGTTACACCCTATCTATGTATAATTACGTGAAAAGATGAGTATGTGCAAGATCTGCACAAATGCTAAACTTATGGTCAAGTGTTAGAGGTTATGAATTTTCTCTGCCATATCTCATGACTTGCTTCAAATGACTTTCTCCATTTCGCATCTGTGGAGCTAATTCAGAGCGATCGGGCTGCTTCTTGGTTTAGTGGTGAACTTAAAAAAAAGACCCGATCCGTACCACTTACATATTGTGCCCTCATGTACTTGCTTTCCAACGTTTCGCCATTTTGCTTTGTGGATTGAAATAAGAGCGGTCAGGCCACTTCTTGATCTGGTCACGATCGAAATGAATAGTAAAGGCATCCGTACCAGCTCGATATTTTGCCATTCTTGCAGGAAGTGTTGGACTTTATGCCAAACCGCGGATGAAAGGATAGCGTTTTTAGAAACACGGTTCAAGCCTTCCTCTTTCGTCGACAGGGACGCATCATACCGTTGTCCATTTTTCACATTTGTAGTGATGCTAGTTAGTATGAATCCACGGGAAGTAGGAGCTCGCAACAAATATTGCCAGTTGATGCAGGCTGGTAACGAAAAATGACCATCGTTTTCTGTATTCCGCAACCCTTTGGACCATTTTGAGGTTTTGTACTGCCGCTGTTCGTTACTATGATTAGATTGTGTGAACTAGAGCTCGGTACTGAAATTAATTAAATCATCAAACTTTCTGCCGCCTTCAAAAACCTGTTTGTGTTACTCAAAAATCGGTAAATGTCATGCAACTGACATCGGAGGGACAGACCGTTCACTTAGGTTCACTTACAAGGGAAAGATAACCGGTGGCCTTGGAATTTTGGAATATGCTATGTTTAAAAATGCTTGCCTTGAAACATAACGAATACGGTTTAAGATTAGTGTCTCAAAGCAATGATATGACTACAGGGCTCCTAAATTGCAGAGTCGTTTGCACCAGCGGTCGCGAGACCGCGTCGCGCCCGGGCATCAATGGCGCCGCCTCGATCGATGGCGCCGGCGCCGGCAAAATGCTCGGGCGCGACGCGGTCGCACCGCTTGTGCAAACGACTCTGCAATTTAGGAGCCCTGTACTTTGTTACCTTTCGATATGCCACATATCGAAAGGCCACGGTCACCAAGTATCTTCAGGTTAGCGTTCGTTTGCAATAAACATCTAGTAAAAAAGGAATAGTATGACTTTTCACTGAGAAAACACAGAGCGGGTCAGAAAGATGACAATTTTTGCGTCGTGCCATCCTAGCGTCCGAGAGTAAGGTTACTGCCCACAAAGACATGGAAGCTTTATTCTTCATTTGGCCCCAGCTAATAGCAGAATTGGAGAGCTGTCCACAAGCGAGCTTATGATGTCGCAAATATTGCATTTCAGTGAGTCATAATGGATTTCATAGCCAGTCTTTTTTAGACATGGACTGACAAGGGTACAAAGCAGTGGCGGCCCGAGAAATTTTTTTCGGGGGGGGGGGGGGGGCGCGACAAAAATTTTTTTCTAAAGAAGGTGCGTGGCGTTAGCCACGCACTCCGAAAAAATTTTTGGGGTGCTTTTCAAAATTTTTGCGGGTCCCCCACCCCTAAAATCTGGAAAAGGGGGCGTGGCGTCAGCCACGCCCCCGAAAAAATTTTTTTTATAAGGCTAAAATGAATTTTTAAAAAATTTTAAAAATTATTTTAATTATTTTCAAGTGCAAACAAGTCGTTTGCACATTTTTACAACCCATATAGGTAAGTTTCAAAAATTTCGCGACCCATTTTCGGGGGGGGGGGGCGCGCGCCCCCCCCCCCCCCCCGCCTCCCCCCTCGGTCCGCCACTGGTACAAGGGTACGGTATTTGGTGTCCGTGGCCTTCTGAGGTGAAACGCATAACATTACACTCTTAGAACGCTGATTACGAATTCCTCTGAAAGAAGTTATAAAGGATTTTCGCATCAATGGTCGCCCAAAAGAAATACGGTCGAGGCGCCTAACTTCCAAAAGAAAGCTTGAGTGAGGCAACCCAAAACTCAAAAACACAAAAGAGTCGTACTTGAACCTACATTAACTTGTGAGGCTATAGCACTAGCCACTACACCACATCGTAGCGGCGGCTTTAACATTCCGACCACATTTCTTTTAGCCACCTTCATAACTTTTTTCAGAGAAACAATTGGCAAAAACGGAGGCCAGATTCAGTATCAGCTCCCCAAAACGAGTGTAATGGTATACATCTCATCTCAAAAAGTCACGGACACTGAGAATCGTTCCCTTGTGAGCCTACGCTATGTGTGTGCATCCAATCAGCAAGAGCGCAAAGTGCTAGCTTTTCCCAACCAGGAATTGGTGGAAAAGCATTTGGAAATAGTTGCAGGCTTTGGGGTTTCAATGTGATAACTCTTACAAGATCGGGCTGAATAGGATGCAGATTGTTTTAGGGCCGCATGCATTAAAGGCATGGCGGGCAAAATTTCGCCTCTCATGTTTTGTCATTCTAAGGCCTTTCCGTGGCCCTGATTACAGTTATAAATTTCAAATTGTCCAAAACCCTCAAAAAACCTAATTCTTGGGGACCCTGTTTTGAGGGCGCGGACGAGTTTCGGATTGTTCATCCCTCGGCCCGCCAGCGGGGACGAGCTGCAAGTGCATGGGTCCAGTTGCACTCCATAATCGATCGATTTGTGAGCACACGTCCTCGAGAGGAGGTGTGTGATATGAGGGCGGTTTGTAATACGTATCACAGGCCCGTATCTCCTTTCAGAGGCCTCGTCAATGTATCGGACGAAAGCGAATCAGATACTCATGGAGCCCGCTTTGCAACTATGTGCTATTATGGGTGAGTGGATCTTGTCTGGACGCTGTCTTTAAAATCCCCGTCGGGGAGGGGGCAGCTTGTGAAAAAGGTTGATATCCTGAAGCTTCAAATAACCTTATTCTACGGTGTCTACCTATCCGTAAGCAATCCCACCATCATTAACTATGAATATATTGAACAAGAGCGAAAAGTTGTACTAGTCCAGCCTTTTATATGATCTCCTGAATTCCCGGCAACATACCGTCTTTTCTTCAAAATTATTTTTTTTTCTTCAAAGTCAACGAAAACCTTCCAAAGTTGTATTGATCTTCTAACACAACAGTGCTAAGCATATCGCCGGTAAGAACAAATGAATTTTTGAAAAATCGAATTTTCGATAAACCCCAGCTTTCGATTTGTAATTCATCTCAAGTTTCATGACTCCAATACATCATTTTTCTTGACAGCAACATGTTAAACACTGTTTGGTTAGATAATCTATACAACTGTAAAAGCTTTTCTTCACTTTGATGACTTCGAAGAAAAAAGGTGCATCATCAGGAGATTATGCAAAACGCTGGGAATTGCGGCTTGTACAGCTCCTCGCTCCTTTTCAATAAGTATAGAATGAGAAATGGTAGGAATACGTACGGATAGGTAGACAGCGTGAAGTCCAGAAGTTTGGAGCTAAGGATATGAAGCTTTCGTTTGAGCTGCGATTCCCTCCCTGGCGGGGATGTTAATGCATGCGGTCCTTAGTGA